TTTGCTAGCTACAGTCCTGAGGGTAACTGACTCAAGTAGTTCCCTTTTGCTTCCCACAAGCCCAAACAAACCTGAAACTCTCTGGATGTGAGGGGAAAGAAGTGACCTGTCACTCTGCTTTAGATCCCAGTTTCAACAATACTCATGGGCATCCAATGAAGGAATGCCCTAAATATTAAGTTTCTAGTTCACTGGAAATATAAAAATGAACTGTACCACTTTCTGAATGATGTTACACAACACCATACATACTGGATGCTCTCTCCTTCAAGTGTCCCATTGTGTTTATAGGCAGTTATTGTTGCTATTTTTGATGACTACTGGTGCAACCTAATGCTGTGTTTTTGCATTTACTTTTCTGACAAATGGCAAAGCTGTTATGCAGCAAGCCCAGTCCTTTGTGATCTGAGCAGCTATGCAGAGGGAGAAAAACTTGGAGATAGTCTTCTTAATCTCAAACGTTCACACTCAAATGTCAAGTCACAGTCGGTGCCAGGATGGGACAGAGTTCAGTCAATCAGATTACCCTTCTTAATCCCATGGATGCTTTACTTCAAGTCATCTTTGACAGTTTCATTATCATCGTAAAATTTTGGGGACTGCATTCTCTGCTATAATATTACTTCTGCTTTGTGAGATGCCTCCACTCAGAAAAGAGATTACCTTGGAACCTAACCTATATGGCTGTGTTTGGAGATAGTACCCTTTTGATAAAAGCACACGGTCTCTGGAATAATTGGGTCTTTTGTAAAGTTTTACCATTTTGATCCCAAATGGAGTTTCTTCCTCCTTATTTTCCCTCGGGAGCTTTACTTCTAAATGGACACAAAGCCACTCTAGTCTGAAATACAGTCTGTTATCTTGGGAATAAGAAAAAACACATTTTTTAACTCGAAAACATGCCTCTAAATACACGGTCGAATAGGCTAAAGCTTACTGTTAGTTCTCAAAAGAAAACGTTCAGTTTATGAGAACAAAATATTATATCTGTCCGTGAAGGAATACAGTAATATTTTAGCACCAAGGGAAAAGAAGTGTGGGGAGCTTATGAATTTTGCATGACGTAAGTGTTGCTATCCGTATGCTTGAGAGGCCACTAGATGATTAAATTGGATATAGCTTTGTTGTGCAAGAAGTGATATGGATCCACATGGTTACAGAACTATAGGGCAAATGAAGAAACAGACGGTAACCAGGAGAATGACTATTGATTTCTGTGCTTCCTTTTAGTCCACAGGTAAGAAGACATAACTAGAGGTGATCTGGGCACGGTATCCACCTTTATCCACAATATGGAGCCACAAAAGGATTCTCTGGGATGCTGAATGAAATCGGATGTGCTACACAGGGAAACCTCACACAAAACAGGTTATCCAGAAAGAGTGCAAACTATGGTGTCCTCCTTCTCTCTCTTTACATTCACCCACCAGGCGAAAACCTTTCGTGGGTACCAGCCAGCCCTGAGGATAGAAATACCTCATATGACAGGCATCAGAACTTGGAAACAGTTGGACATACAGATGTGCCAGACATTAAAGGCATGTGGAATATGAAGGTCACTGTCTCACATATCTGCATGCCACTGGAGGTAGGTACAGAATATTCCAGTAGGACCTAAAGTCTCTGAAGAAAATCCTTAGGTAGGTATTTGGCTTTAGGTAAGCCTACACCTTTGCAAGAGAGGTGCATCCTTGTTTGAACTGGTTGAAAAAAAACATCAAAGGAAGAGAACTGCACTCACTGACCAGCCTGACTCTTGAGAAGAGGTCACTCTTCTTTAATCTGAGCACTAACACAAAGCCACAATATGTGATTTCTGGAGCAGAGACCTGACAAGTTGCTGAACAGTCTGGTAATGTGCCTAAAAGTCTGATAGCAAACTCAGAACGTGCATAGATTGTTCAGTGGTTTATGATCCATTTATTTCTGCTATGATCTGTGTTCTTAAATAAGACCTATTTCCATTTCTCAAATCTAGGTTCCCTAACAAGTGCTGTCCTTGCAGAATGAAATGGCAGTCGCCACACCTCCGGGGTGTCTGTAGACAGTCACCTTCCCTGGGGGCAGGCACTGCTCCTGGGAGGAGCCTTGAGGATGGGCCCTGAGGCCCAGAGAAAGAAGAATGGAAAGGGTAATGGTGCTGAGGCAGCCTATGGCAACGGCTGTGGGAAGTTTGTCCTTCAGATCTGTGCCATCACAGGCAGGGAGCCCTGATGGTTTCCCCTTTTCTCTTGCTGGGTATACCTGCAGTGATGTAGTCAGCATGGAGATGTTACTGCCTTGTAGCTGAGCAGCCCCTATAGATTCCATGCATAGCACTAATCTGACTTTCTAAACTGCAATCAAACACAGATTTGAAATATGCAAATCCAGAGTTATCTTTCCCCTCAGTGGTATGCTATCAGCAAACACAGCTGGCTATAACGAAGACAACTCACCATTCCCTTGAGCAAACTGGAAGGCTGGGTTTAATACTGCACGTATTTGTGAAATTTTTTAGCTACCTTATGAGAAGATAACAAGGAAAGGAGATGAGATGGAACGAAATGCCTAAAACCAATAGTTATTCAGCTGACAATCTGGGGACCTGCATTACTGACTTTCCCTGCAGAAACTTAATCATTCCTCTTGAATTCCAGATTAAAAAACAAACATAAAACTCTGGAAAATGTTGCCAGAAGGTATTTTTAACACATGAGGCACCAGCTAGGGATATGCTTGGACAATTTTTTTGTCAAGTGAATGGTCCTGCTGAAATAAATGGGATAATATGCCTATGAAAGTGTTGCACAACTGGAATCCACTTGTTGGACTTCTAATGAGACAGGATTAGTACCAAAGTATTTGTCTCAGAAGCTACATTTGGTTTGCCTTACAGGTTTTTGTTTCCTAAACAAAAAATTGTAAATCCATTTCTGATACTGCAAATTCAAACAATTTTGCTCATGAGTACCTTAAGTAAAACTAAGGGAAAATAATTATATTACATCCATGGGACAACACACGTGACATAACACTTGCATGTGAAAATGTCTGACAGGTTTGATTGCAAAGCAATGGACTGCATTCAACTGCTTGGCTAAAGCTGATTGAGTTACAAAGTCCAACCGGAAGGAAATTTTTAGATCTTTTAGAAATACTTCAGATTATTTTGGATAAAGATTTCATGAAAAGTAAGTTCAAAAGACGGACAGTGAGCATAACAACAGAGAAAAGCCTCATTTAACCATACAGGGATGGGCTGTGTGCAAACTGAAGGCAAGAGAAAGGGCTATAACTATACCAAAGTGTGAGCAAACTATTGTAGAGTTCAGGGATACCTGGCAGCCCCAGCACCAAATCTTTAGTTACACAGATGCTAATAACATGAATAAAAAGTGGAATCAAACATTCAGTAAAATTATAACTTCTTTGTCTTTCAGCTTCAAATGGCTGCAGAAGAAACATCTGCCAATTGTTCTGCTAGATCATTTGCTTGGTGCATGGCTTTCGTGCTTGGCTTTGAAATGGTTTGACTATTTTTCTCTCACTTGCACATTATAATAAGAAGAGTGAATAAAGTGTAAATGGACTTAGAAAGATCAAGCAAAGTGCCTATTCTCCAGCTGAGAGTGGACTCAAAGTGTTATTAATCTTGGCTTGGGTGTTCTCTTGCATCCCTGAAAAAAGATTGGGCTGTAGTCTTTTGCAAGAATATAAGCAAAAGGAAGAAAGTAAAAGTTAAGTTTCTTACAGTTCATGAACTTCCCCAAAGAGAATAGTCACCATATTGACTGAAAATTACAGTGTAGAATGCAATGGTACATGTTAGTATTACAATCATTTAGCAGTAGAGTTTCGGGTCAACATGGCCTTGTGCTATGCTCTTGAGACAAAGCTCCCTTCTCTGCCTGTTGCTGTCTATCACCAGCATCTCTGGGACCTGAGGCAGTGATTCATCCCCACACACCAGCCCTCCAAAATACCTCAGGGCTGGACCAAAATGGAATATATTGGAAGAAACTCAGTGAATGTATCTTTTGCATTTCCAGGATCTGTTTATAGCAGTGAGGTCAGCTTGCTACTAGTATACAAGACAACATTTCTAAAAGAATGCTAATGCTTCATGAAATTTAAATGATACTTTTGATCTATTTCGTATCGTAAATCCCCAGTTAAATTTATGAGTTGGTTGTAATCAGAGGGTTTTTCAGTCTTAAGACAAATGAATTTCCACATGTCAGTGATAGATAGCCACACAGATTAGGTCCTGTACCAACCCTGGCTAGGTGGCAAGCCCAGGCAGAGGCACCCTCTCTGTTTTTGCTTCCCATGATGTCTATCTGTTCAATACCTCTTCAAGCATGCTGTGCAGAGAGGGATGCAGGTATTTTGGATTGCAACCTGGCACGGCTGTGGGTGAAGAAGGCTGGGCAACAGCAAACTAGTGACTCAAAACTGGGCCCTCATCAGAAAAGGTGAATTCTGTCACCTCCAATTTAGGCTTGTCAACAGCTCCAGCCATGCAGAGGGAAGGGATTAATGTCCCCAAAAGCACTAAGGAACAGTTTGGACTTTTTGAACCGTTTGGACCAGTTGAATTTTTCATCAGCAATATTTGCATTTGAGAATTGTTTAACTGGCCTTTTATTTCCTGTCCCAGGTTCCATTTAACAAACCACACCTGCCTGGCACTCCCTGCAAGAAACCCTGGCAGTAGTAGTGCTGCTCTGGTGGATGAGGCTTCAGAATCTTAACCTACTTAAAATAATACATTATTAACATTTGGAAAAAATATCACAGAGACATTTCCTGGTAAGTTACATGTAAGTACCGCCACCAACTGTGGACATCAGTGAGGAATTTTAACTTTACTAGGTAACTGGCTGGTCACTGGGACTCAAACCTTTAATTATTTAATTTAATTAAATTTAATTAATTTCTAGGAATGGACAGTTATGGAAACATTAACAAAACGTACCACTGAGAAACCACAGTTCCAGAAAGTTTCAAAAACATACCTGTTCCAAAATGGTGTTTATTCTGTCTACTTCACAGTCAATTAAGTATCTTTTTTCTTGTCGCCTGTCCATTTCCTCTATAATTCTTCTGAATTCTTGAACATCCTTTATGCTTCCTACAGATCTGGCTGTCACTTGCCAGTTGTTTTGAACTGCTGCTTCCATAATTGCCTGGAGAATGGAAAATCCTGTAGCAGGAGAGATAATGCAGCCATTTAAAATCAGAACAAAAGTAAAAACTATTTTGGATGTTTAATAAAGTGTTTGCAAAAAATACATCATCCAAAGGGACACAGACCAGCTAATAACCTGGAATTGTTTCACTACTTGAGAGAGCTACAGCGTTAAGGACCAGTTTCTTATTTCTGCTATGCCACTGCCAAAGTCACTGACTTCAGCAGAACTGTTTGGTGGTATACGACTGTGAGGCGCATCAGAATCTGTCCAATATATCATATTATGACCCTCTCAGGGATGTTTATAGTCGCACTGGGGTTGATGCCAGCTGAGAATAGGAGCCTGCAGCCATTACTTGGGCAAAAGTCCATCAGTTTGAAGAGCCCGACAGAAGGGGTAATTTGCCTGTGCAGACTGCAGCAATGGGTCATTAACTGGCAAAGGTCCAAGCACTGCACAAGAATGCCAATTAAGGCATTGTACCAGCTATTGGAGCCCTGAACCATGAGAGAATATTTTACTGACATTCACTCGGACTTCAAAAAATGTTTTTTAAATACGGAGCGTAGCAGCATTAACTCCACTTTCAATGCTTCTGTTGAGGTAATACCAACTTATTCAGCAGCTGAAACAGCAGAGAGAATCAGCATGGACCAACCAAAGGCTGCACTGTGGGAAGTTATACAAGCAAACAACATTTCATTTCTTGGGAACAGCTGTGCCTGGGCTGCAGGAAGAACTCAAATCCCCAAGTGAGAGATGGTGCAACTGCATACGGCAACTTCCTTCAAGTCATGCCATGCAGGGGAGGCACTGGACATAGATTTGCATCCCTTTATTTCTGTATGTAGCTGAGAATCTGGTGAATTGCCTGTTTTGATTCAGGAAATTCAATTTTTTGCATTGTTCTTTCCAAACTGGGTAGATGCCAATCAAATATAGAGCTCATCTCCTTCAAACCCACACAGTTGTCTCCAGTGTGGATTCTGGATATAGAAACATCCACATGAGCTACACTTCTGCCCAGATAATTTATAGGCAGAACCTTCTGTCTAATCATTTGGTCATGCTGTGGATTTCTTATCCACATCCAGGCTTGAGAAGCTCAGGATGTCTTCGCACCCACAAACACCTACATAAGCATACATGTTCAACAGATCAGTTCACCATGCTCTGTGATAACCCACCCCCTGTGCTCCTGAAGCTGAAAAGACTTTGAGTTACAGAGAAGCAAAATATTCACTGTTTCATGCTGTACCACTAGCTATCTGTCATTGCAGGGCTATGCTGATAACAAACAACTTGTGCCAGAGTCTGATTTTCTGCAGCCTGCTGTAAATCCACAGCAGCCGTCTGAAGGCAGGAGTTGCACCATAGCAGCAATACAGATACAAAGAAGGAAAGGGTGATTTTCTAGACTGCAGTTAGATTATTACAATTCACCATGTGACTTCCTTAAGTCTCACGCAGATGCCCTTACTCTCCCAAGGAAACCTTCCCGATTCTTCACGCTCTTCCTCATATGAATGTGCTTTTTCACCACGATAGGTGGTGACAATTAATATGTACACTGGTTGGGAATTCTTTCTGGCATCTGCTTTCCCCTGAGACTATTGAAACAGAGGCATTTACATATGTATAGTACAATGAACTCGATCTTCCTTAACATCATATTTTACAAAAATGGCTGTGATATCTGTGACAGCATTATGATTCCATTACATGCAGGAGGAAGATCTAGGCCTGAGATACTTGCTTGGCTATAAATTAGGAATTCTGATGTGAGAGCACAAAAAGCACTAATGGGGACTTACAAACACTTTGAGTATAAAGATATGCTTTTTAAAAAAGCGATTCTAGAAAGCAATGAATATTTATAACTTTGTTTCATCATTCATATGACATGCAAGTATGAATCTTGAAGTTTCTTTAAGCAGCAGAACACAGATCATAAGTATTTTTTTTCACTCAGAATTGAAAAAAATGGTTTAACAGATTGTAAAAAACTTGACACTTTAAAAAATCAATATCTCTTTTTGGTTTATAACATGCAAAGCTTACAAACCGTCTCAACGAAATAAATGGAAACGAACGTGCTGGAGTGCAGCTGCCATCGACTGACTGCCATGTACCCTTGTTTCATTTTTGAATCAGAGCTCACTTCATCAACCTTGAATATCTCAGAAGAAAGCTTGGCAATTTTTCTGATTTTGTCCCACTGCATGCTTTTGTTCTTGTGTGCGAGGAGGTGTTTTTGCACATATGTGTATTAGTTGTTACCATTTCGAGAAAGAGAAAAACAAGGTTAGTCAGTGGCCTTTCTCCTCTTTGTGAAAGTACAACAATACAATCACAACACTTTCAATGCAAAAACAAACAAACGAAAAAGTTGCAGAACTTCCCCATTTAACACACCTATGGCCACCATCTGTGCCGTGTCAGCCAGCTGCTGGGGATGCCTTCCCCACCATGGCAAGTGCCACTTGCCCCTCCTGTGACAACTCCCTGGGACCCTTTACAAGCCCATTCCCTTGCTTTTCAGAAACCCCACTCAGCACTGCTGCTTGCAGAAAGGCAGTGCAGGTGCTCCTTCACAACCATGTGTTTCCCGACCTCTGGTGCCTACTATGCTGATTGCCTTCAGCACCATTTACTGCATTTTACATTGCTCCCCATTATGTGTTATTTCTATAGACGACATGTCCAGGCTCCAGCTGTACTTTACGATTAAAAGTGCTGTTATATAAGCAGTGAGACTGTGTAAACAAAAGGACCATTTTATCTTCAAATATGAACTCTTCTTGCTCCTTAACAAAGCAATGCAAGCTGTGGCTCTTCAGGGCTACGTCTGAGTAATGAAAGAACAAATGGTGCTCCCTGCTTTGTGCACATCAGTGACCAGACCTGCATGCTGAGCCTTCCCATCTCCTGCCCTCCAGCCAGTGCACTGCAGGGATGCTGTACAAAGGATGCTCATTCCAACACCCCCAATGGTGCGGATCTCTCAGGATTGCCTCTCAGCCCAGCCGCCCTGCAGGAAGCCAGCCAGACACCCAGCTATTTCTGCTTTGTAGCTTTCTGTGGTCTGCACCATTGCTACCCGGAAAGGCTAAAGGACTGGCAATCCATAACAGATATGCAAAGATGCAACGCAGAAAGGGTTTTCATTAATATTGTTGCTGGTCTATGCTGTTTCAAATGTTAAAGCCAAAAAAATACTTATAAGGCAAGAAAAAATGACTTTCTTCTCTGAGATGACAGCAACAAGGCCATCTCTAAGCAGGCTCACAACAACACCATGACTGAAATTCAGCGGTTGCTCATTCTATAGCTATTGATATAAACACGTACAACAGGAAAACCTCAGTCAGCCCCAAACCCGATCTTTTAAATACTTTTTTCCTTAGTCAGACTGTGGCTATGAAGGAAGCAGGATGAAGAACACATTTCTCTGGAAGTGCTGCTGTTGGAAGTGCATCCTCTTGATGAAGGGGACAGTCTCTTAAGCAGGGTCTGTGGTGACAAAACAAGGGGAAGTGGCTTCAAGCTTAAAGAAGGTAGATTTAGGTTGGATATAAGGAAAAAGACTTACAGTGAAGACGGTGAGGCATTGGAACAGGCCACCCAAAGAGATGGTGGGTGTCTTGTCCCTGGAGACATTCAAGTGAGACTTGATCAGGCTCTGAGCACCTGATGGAGCTGTAGGTGTCCCTGGTCACTGCAGGGAAGTTGCACTAGATGACCTCTAAGGGTCCCTTCCAACTCTAATGATTCTATGATTCGACGCCAGCCTTTTTGATGACACCATGTCCCTTTGCTATGACACCAACACATTGGCATTACTGACATACAGGTATCTCTGGCCACACGACGACAAGGTCCATACTTGGCAGGTCATACAACAGTCATGTTATGCTTTGGGAGATTCTAACCATGTCCTACGGGGGAGCTTCACCTGTGACTGCTGAATGCAACCACACAAGTCAGTCTGACCTGTACCTACTAAAAGCACCAACTCTGGACTTAATATTCAAGTGCAACGTAGACCAACTTATTCTTGAATTATTAATGATTTAAAAAAGCTAAGTCTCACCTAAACTGTCAGCAAAATGACTGGGCTGGAAGAAACTACCGCAATAAAACTCAAACAAAACAAGTGCCCAGCTTACTACTTAGTGAGCTGAAGCAAGTACTTTGATTTTTGCTGACTGAAGCTTGCAAAGAGGGAAAATATTCAATACAATTTTTCCTCAGAGCATGGAAAATATAATTTGTTGCAATGCTGTATCTGTGCTTTAAACAAGCCAGACAGAATTACATTCTGGGCAGCCCTCACTGCAGCCAGACTCAGACATACATAAGCTCAGCATCTTCACAGGAAGAAATGCTTCTTTGTCTTTCAGATAGTTATTTTGATACAAGAATGTCTGACCCTACCAGCAGAGGTGAAAAGGACATTTAACTCTTTTTCATCCGTTTATGAAGCTCACAAAACATCTCCCACACCCCATAAGCAAAATTCATCTACGCAGTCTGCTCAGCCAGATGAAATTCTACATAATTCATCACTGAACTTATTTAGACAACAGCAGTCGTTAATATGCCACGAGTAAATGACCACACTGGAACATCTGTAAAATCACACGAGAGCCCTCACAGATGGCACCAAAGTACTGAGAAAAGATTACCAGTGATGTAATGAACTCCTTTTCTGAATGTTCCTGGTAAGATCTTGGATCTTAACCTCCATTTAGAAATGGAAGATTATTTACTTGCAGCCCCTCTTTCTTTTTTCCTTGATGAGTACTTTAGATCTTTGAGGAGTATATTTTCCTGGAAGGCAGCATGTTTTTGCCTGGTGTATATCCTGAATATCAGCTTGGATCCAAACACTTGTATTTTGAATCTGTGACACAACCCAAAGAACTGAGATTCTGGCTTACGAGCAAAATTCAGGGATTTAACTGTGGGCTCACATTCGACCAGGCCAGGAAGGAGGCCATCAAGGTAA